TTCTTCCCTTATATCAATACATACGGACAACTATGGACATACGCTCGAACGAAATGCTGTTGAAATACTAGACGGAGGGAGAAGTCGTGACCAGTGAAGTTCAAACCTGTTCGGATGTATACAGGGTATGAGGTTGCGCAACTCCGTGAATTTGATCAAGTTAGACATTAACATCGTTAGATACCGGCTCAGCGGTCTAACGGTTTGGGCGTTCGCGCACAATACCGAAGGTCCTGGGTTCGAATCCTGCGGGGTGCAGGAGTCGTGGATGCGCACTGCTGAGGAGTCCTATACCAGGACGAAACGGACGTCTTTCAGTGCTTCCAGGTTTCTAATGATGGTCTAACATTGATCGATTCATGGTTACAAATAAAAAATAAACACTAGAGAATGTTTAGAAGTTTGGCACTCAGGTCAATCAACAATCAATAAACACATCGGTACTGACTCAATTTACAAACCAATCAGAAAAATCATAGACAGATATAGGATCAAGAAACAGATCAAAGAAGGATAAAGCTGCAAACAACGACAGATTTAAAGTCAACAACAACCAATCACAATCGAGGTCAACAGTACAAGCTACAACTCATACTACATGAAGAAACTCAAATACTTCACTTGTTCTATCTGACATTTTTGCTGATAATGTTATTTAAAATATAACAACAATGATAAAATCTTCACAATAAAATCTTCATCACAATTTTCTATTACATCAAAAAATTTTTATCCCCATGAATAAAAATCAAGAGAAGAAAGTTGACAAATAAAAGTCATCTGTTGTTTTTTTTCTTAATTTCAAATTAAACCATATGATAAAAATCAAAGCAAAAAAATTGTCTCACTTCCTCTGTTCTAATAATAATAATTTTAAAGTTCCTTTAATCTATATGAGTTTGTGTAAGTGAGTGAGTGAGTGTGTGTGTGTGAGTGTCTGCTTGCGTGCGTTTGTAAATTGCTATCAAGTCACATTCAATTTGCATTGATCCACAGTGTACAAAATGATTGTTTCCCTGTTGGTTTTTGGACTATATAACGCTGTAACAAATGACTCATATTATTGATTGATAAACGGATGGCTTATTTTTTCTTTGTGTGCTTAAAAATCAATTCACAACGCATTATTACATTGAGGAAGTCAGTTGTCGGTTATCACATGGCAGCCATATGCATTTAGGAAGAGGAAGAGTACATTTGTAAAAGTTTCATTCATTTGCAGTGCCTCCACATATATTTCAGTTCTCTTACATCTAACTTGGTTAAGCCCTTTCGATTAATTTATTTAACCAAGCCATTTGTATTGCAACAATTTATATGTACCATTCGTTCTTATGTTATTGTCTGGTTTGTATGATGAGCTCACATGACATGTCCCACTTGTCATTTGACCTTGTCAATCATTCGTCGCTTTTATTCATATGTGTGCATACCTATTTCGCTTGTCATATGTCTGTCTTATTATTGTCTGACTATATATTCTTAGTCATGCTCTATCTCTTGGAGTTGGCTCACTAGCCTTCTCCACGTCGCTTCGTTCATTCGCTTGCATTGTAATCCAAAGAGTTGGCTCACTAGCCTTCTCCCATTCGCTTCTCCTCTTCGCTCATTCGCATATTCGCATATTCGCTCGCTAGTGTATCTGCTCAGTCTGTATGTGGTGTGCCTCAAATAAACGTATACGATATTTGGAGTTCATCTTCTGATTTATAAATCGAGCTTAAGAACACGCAGTTATAGGCACACTACATAATGGTGAGCCCTACGTCAACAAAATTGGCCATCATCCTTAATGGTGATCCCGCCGTTCTCAGGATGTTTCCTGATGCTGACGAAAAATCGAACGCTTCCAATTAATTGGTAATTTCGACGTAGAATCGAATGCAATCATTCTTCCGTGCATTCGCTCGCCAGTGCACTACAAAATCGTTATCCCGACGTCAGCGAAATCGGCCACCATACAAAATGTTGGACCCGTCGTTCATTCATATCACTCCCTATTTGCTTCGCTCGATTCATTCGTCCATACGTCTTCACAGAAGATCAGTAAACTCTCACTACATAATTCGAGCCATAGTGAGCCAACTCCAAGAGATAGAGCATGACTAAGAATATATAGTCAGACAATAATAAGACAGACATATGACAAGCGAAATAGGTATGCACACATATGAATAAAAGCGACGAATGATTGACAAGGTCAAATGACAAGTGGGACATGTCATGTGAGCTCATCATACAAACCAGACAATAACATAAGAACGAATGGTACATATAAATTGTTGCAATACAAATGGCTTGGTTAAATAAATTAATCGAAAGGGCTTAACCAAGTTAGATGTAAGAGAACTGAAATATATGTGGAGGCACTGCACATTCTCTGTATATGTACATAAATATTCGTAAATGAATTAAAAGTGTTAGCGTAAAAATTCATTGAATTTAACATCATAAACCAATCAGAAGTGGACAAATGCGAAGGCCATTTGATGACCCTCAGAAATGTCCCCAAGGACGAATGAATATTATTGGTTAAGGAAATGAATTTATTTTCTAACGGAGAAAAAATATATATGCATTACGGGGTTGTGAAGATTGTTAAGTTACACATTTTTGAGACTACCATTAGAAACCTGGCAGCACTGGACGGCCGTTTCGTCCTGGTATGGGACTCATCAGAGGCAGTGCGCATCCACAACTCCTGCACCCTGCGGCATTCGAACCCAGGACCTTCGGTATTGTGCGTGAATGCCTAAACATCGGACCACTGGGCCGGTATCTAACAGTGGTAATGTCTAACTTGATCAATTCAAATATATGGATAAATAGTTTTTCTTCTCCACTACTTGCTTAAATTAATCAGTTTGAATGATTATTTCACTGCACGTTCAGACATTGCATGATTATAACAACATTCCTAAAGAATTTCAGTTTCTATTTTGAACTAAACACTGATAAGATTCTTTCAGAAAACAATGAAGTAATTTTCATTTAAACAAACAAACTTAAAACTCATAAAAATGTGTGTTTAAAATTTTTTATCAATAAAAGTAATACAATCTTTACTAAAATAGTAAATAATTTCTATTTACTACTAATATTTGTTTTAAAATATTAGAAAAAATTCAATTGTGTTACTACTTAAATACCAATCAGAAACTAGCTGAATTCAATCAATCCTGTTGCATGATGGTACCGATTTTCAAAACATGATACTCACTAACTCGTCAAATTTTGACTAACTACTTGATTAAGAAGTTAAGTTAAGAGTAGAAGAGAATGTCTATACGTAGTCACAGAATTACATGTCTAAATACTTATATAGATATATGTTCTTTTCCGCTAGGGAATTCATTCATTTCTTGACTGTTTGTAGGCATTTGTCCGTCGGCGCATTGATCATCAAATGACCTTCTGGTTCAGCTACTCCTAATTCGCTCTCTATATTGATAACACTCTGACATTTAAAGTGCTTTGTCTCAACAGGGAAATTCACATCAGTTCGCTCTGTCCTACTGTACGGATGCGAGACTTGGACGTTAAGAGTAGAGGACTTTCGTAGGTTACTAGTCTTCGATCATTGATGTCTCCGAAGCATTGCTCGTGTATCATGGGACAACCGTATAAGCAATGCTGTCGATAGGAAACGAGTTCTAGGTAGGGATGGCAAATCAATAGGTGAAGCATTGAAACTTAATCAGCTGAGGTGGTTGGGACATGTGCTGCGTATGCCTAACCACCGACTGCATCGACAAGCTTTGTTTTGTAGTGTAGGAGTAGGTTAGAAGAATGTTAGGGGCGACCAAACCAAAACATGGTAGAAATCCATGAAGTTACTGACAAGTGGACTGAGTCATGTTGGTAAATGTAGGCTATCTGGTTGGGGTCCGCGAGACGATAGTAACCGATGGTTAGAGACCTTGAATGACATGGCTCAAAATCGTTTACTATGGTGCAGATGCATTCACTCTTTGTGTGCTTTTTAATTCTAACCTTCTGAATTCCTGATAATGTCTATCTTTCTCCTTCTAAATTTATCTTACTGAATTATACTTTTCGAATTATATCTTCGCTCCCTAATCTTCTCTATTGCTGCTAATAATTCTACTATCGCTATCACTCTTGGATTTGAACTGATAGTTACGTCTCTGTGCTGACGTGGTATGGCAACCTGAACTGATGTACGTACGTACGAAGTTCTGCGTTGTATCTGTCTGTCTGAACGAAGCTGTGAAACATCCATTTTCAATACAAAAAAGTTATTGACACTCTTCTCTCACATCGATTATGACTTTTTTTAAAACTACAATCTGATTACATCATTTATCCACATTGGACATTGTTCAGTTCAACAGTAACTTCTAGTGATTACCAGCCCACTGTTGGGATATTCATCCAATATCCTAAGAGAATTATTAATCAATTCCTATTGGTTCATTCCTACTGGTCAATTTTATGGTCGTCCTAGATATCAATGTCACGTGCTCCAATGTAGCTTCCTATTGGTCGTCTAAACTGCCGATTTGTCACAGACTTCGATGCTGTTTCCTATTCGACCAAAATGTACAAATATGCATTATTTGTAACGTTTTATGACCAGGACCAGGACCCGGTCCCGGATCCCTAGTCCAGGATCTTGATTCTGTTGTGGATTCGGACTTCGTACTTTCTGGATGCTTGTAGAATACAGGTTCTACTTTATATCACATCTTATTTCTACTCAATATGGGGGGTTGGGATAATCGGATTTGAGTAGCATGTCATGTCACCGGATCCTCAATCCTCGCTCTCACGTTTCCGACTAAGGTAAACCCGTCATAGTTCAAGTATATATCAAGTTGACGTGCTTACGTACAGGCGTAACACCTTCCTCCACTCCCGACTGCATACTACTTATATATATGTATAGATTGTGTCACAAGTAGTATAGTATACACATCATACTAGTAGTAATTAACTTTTTTTCCGTATTTATTTTTTTCTCTCCTCCCATTTTCAAGGCATATCGTTTGGAACCATTACTGTTGAAACATTATGCTAATATTAGTCCTGTTGTTATACCGAAAGCATCAGTGAATCATTTAGAAAAATGTTTATCAATTAAAGATATTTCATTGATCAATACTACTAATACTAATAATACTACTACTACTAACAATAATAATAATAATCATAGTCAAACACCAACTTTAATAGGTTCGAATACATCATTAGCCACTATAAATAATGATATTGAATCATTGCATACATTGGATTTATCTGATTCGGATTCGTCAAACTCTTCATCCGATTTATCATTGAATGATTCACACAGCAGTGGTGGAGGTGGAGGTGGTGGTAGTCGTGGAGGCGGCGGCGGCGGCAGCAGTAAAAATCATCATCCTGATCAGAAGGAACAAAAGAAAAAGGTAGGCGATGAAAAAATGACAAGATTTCTTTTTTGATTGATTAACTAATTCATGCATTCATTGATTTGATTTGATTTGAATTCATAGTGTCAGTCAGTTAATAAGTCAGTCAGTCAGTCAATCAGTGACAATGTGAAACTTCGTACATGAATACGTAAGTTCAGATGGCCATACCACATTAGCACAGAGACGCAAATGTCAATTGAAATCCCATAGTGATAAAGATAGTAGAGGTATTAATGGTAGTAATGAAGAAGACTAGGGTTTGAAGATATGATTCAAGAAGTATAATTCAGTGAGATAAGGTTAGAGAGAGACAAGTAGAGTTGCTGACGAATCTATAAGATTAGGATTTGAGAGAAAACAAAGAGTGGATGCACCTGTGCCATTGTAAACGATTTTGAGCCATTTTATTCAAAGTCTCTAACCATTGGTGACTTTCGTCTGGCGTACCCCAACCAGATAGTCTACATTTACTAACATGATTCAGTCGATTCAGTATTATGAATGGCTAACCCCCGACTGCCTCGTCGAGCGACGTTTTGTGGTGTAGGAATAGGTTGGAAGAAAGCTAGGGGTGGCCAAACCAAAACATGGCAGAAATACATAAAGTCACTGGCAACTGGATTGAGTCATGTTGGTTGGTGTTGACTACCTGGTTGAGGTCCGCAAGATGAAAGTCACCAATGGTTAGAAATCTTGAACGACATGGCTCAAACTCGTTTGCAATGGCACAGGTGCATTTATTCTTTGTGTTCTCTCAAATCCTAATCTTATGGATTCGTCAGCACCTCTACCTTTGTCTTTCTAACCTTATCTGACTGAATTATATTTCTTGAATAATATCTACAAACCCTAGTCTTCTTCATTACCATTAATACCTCTACTATCTTTATCACTATAGGATTTGATTTGAAATTTGCGTCTCTGTGCTAATGTGGTATGACAACATGAACTGATGTACATACGTAAGAAGTTCTACGTTGCAACTGACTGACTCAGTCAACTTATCTATGACTTCATGGATTTGTGCCATGTTTTAGTTTGGCCACCCTTAGCTTTCTTCCAACCTACTCCTATATCACAAAACATCGCTCGTCGAATTAGTCGGTGGTGTTAGGCATACGTAACACATGTCTCAACCACCTCAACTGAAAAAGTTTCACTACTTCATCTATTTACCTGCCATTCTTACCTAGTAGTATCCGTCTCCTAACAACAGCATTGCTTACACGTTGGTGCCAGAATATTCGAGCAATGATTCGAAGAACACCTATGATTAAATACTAAGAGCCTACCAATATTCTTTACCCTTACTAGCCATGTTTCAATCGATACTTTGAAGAACAGAAAGCCACAGTATGATAGTTTCTTTCTCTTTCAAACAAACAAATACAAGTAATCTAGCATGGTGTTTGAATGTCTGCTCAAGAAACTTGAAGATAATTTCTATTGATTAACAATGATAGATTGTATTTTTATTGGTAAATATTTGTTTAAGAAACAATCTGTTTATTTGTGAAAAAATAAAATGATCATTTTCATTTATTTGCATAAAGTAAGATATTTATCAATGCACCGCTTTATTAATGTTAAATCATCTAAATAGATTGACTAGTCATAGTGTAGTGAATGTGAACAGAGGTGAGTGCAACCGAATTGCATTTAACGGAAAATTACAGAGTTACACAGTGAAATCGGAAAACCATATCGTAAATCGTTAATTTGCAAAATATCAGTTCATCATATCGAACTGGACTGTTCCTGTTGCAAAACATCAATCCATTGTCACTATTCATGCGTTTCATACAAATTCCATTGTGTTCTAACTCTTCGTTTCTTGATCTTTCCCCATCTTTTGCTGCCAGACATTACGTTTCTACTCACGTCATATACTACTTATAAGTAGCTCACACCACAATAGTATGAATCGTTACTTACTTGCTTACGCTTGCTTCCTCTAATGGAGCAAAGGCCACCAACTAGTATTCACCTACCTACCTACCTTATCCTAAGCCTTCCTTTCTAGTTCTCAGTCAGTTAGTTACAACGTAGAACTTCATACATGAGTACACAGGTTCAGATTGCCATACCGCATCGGCACAAGGACGCAACTGTCAGTTCAAATCCAAGAGTGATAGAGATAGTGGCAGTGTTGGCAGTAATAGAGAAGATTAGGATTTGGAGATATTATTCAAGAAGTATAATTCAATGAAATAGATTTGAGAAGAGAGAAAGGAAGGAGATGAATAATTCAGTAGATTAGATTTTGAGAGAACACAAAGAGTGGACGCACTTGCGACATTGCACCCTAGCTTTTATCCAACCTATCCCTACATCACAAAACATAGATCGTTGAGGCAGTTGGTGGTTGGACATACGTAACACATGTCCCGACCACCACTTCATCTATTGATCTGTCAAACTTACCTACTACTTGTTTCCTAACTATAGCAGTGCTTATGCGGTTGTCCCACGATACACGAGCAATGCTTCTAAGTCATCTATGATCGAATACTAATAACGTACGAATATGCTCAACTCTTGCAGGCCATGGTTCACAGTCATAAAGTAGGACGGAGCGAACTACTGAGCAGTATACTGGTCTTTTAGTTAGCAAACGGATATCTCGTTGACGCCATAAATGGCGTAAACTGACAAAAGCTAATCGAGCCTTCTGAGATTCCGTCAATCACCAATTCAGGTTCCTCAAGAAATACCCTTTCGCAGTGTGGGCAGCCGTGAATTAACATCCACCCTCATACCCGTAACAGCACGTGAGACCTTTCTAGTTCTACCCAATTGTTGTTCATTCTTTTCATGTCTGTCTCTATTTCTCGACGTATTGTGTTCTTGGGTCATCTCCTCTTTTCTTTTGTCCTTGAGGATTCCCAGTTACGGCTTGCCTTGTCATACAGTTGGATGCTTTTTGTAATGTATGTTCTATTCAACTCCACTGGTTGTTCTCAATTTCTGCTTCAGCTGTAATCTGATTTCTTCTCTTCCACAGTAGGTTGTTGCTGATTGTGTTTCAAAGTGACAGGCATTTATAAATGCAACACAATTTATTGCGTTAATTTATTGTCAGTTTATGTATATAACTTGAAATCTCAATAGGTTGATTGGTATATTTACTAAACAGTTTATTTGTTTTCATTGTTTATTTGAAGAAGTAATCTCATGCGATACTTCAAATTTGAAAACGAAACATTCAGAATTATTAAACCATTGAAAATAGAACAAAACATTACTTGCGATCTTGGCTAAATTGAT